CTACCTCAACATCCCAAGTCTATCTGTCCATTTGTCCATCCTTCCATCCTTCCTTCCTTCCTTCCCCAGCTTTTTCTAATTTTTTTTATTTTGAGACAGGTTCTCACTAAGTGCTCAGGTTGCCATGCACCATCACACCTGGCTTTTTTTTTCTTTAAAAATTATCACATAGGGCCAGGGATTTAGCTCTGTGGCACCGTGCCTGCCTTGCAAGAGCAAGGTCCTGAGTTTGATCCCTGTACCTCAAAAAAATAAAAAGAAAAATCTATCACATAGTAAAATTGACCTTGAGCAAATGCTTGTATAGATTTGTATTACCATCACAATCAGGGTAGAGAATGGTTTTATTACCCTGTAACACTCCCTTTTGCTAGCAACCAATACTTCCTGCCAGCCCCTAACACCTGGCACCCACCCTTCCAGTCTAGTTTTACCTTTTCTAGAACATCATGTTAATGGAATTATACGATGTGTACTCTTAAGACTGGCTTCTTTCACTCAGCATGATGCCTTTGAGATTCATCCAAGTCATTGTGTGCATCAGTAGTTCATTCTTTTTTATTGCTGAATGGTATTCTTTGTATAAATATATTACATTTGTTTATTCACCATTTGAAGGACATTTGGAAAGAAAGCAAGGAAGGAAGATCTGGGCATGGTGGTGCATGCCTGTAATCCCAGCACTCAGGAGGCTGAGGCAGGAGGATAACCTTGAGTTCCAGGCCAGTTTGGACTACACAATGAGTTCAAGGCCAGTTGGAACTACAAATCAAGACCCTATCTCAAAAATGAAGGAAGGGGGCTGGGGATTTAGCTCAGTGGCACCGCGCCTGCCTCACAAGCACAAGGTCCTGAGGTCGATCCCTGGTACTGTAAAAAAAAGGGAGGGAGGACAGACATTTGGAATGGGTTATTTTCAGTTTAGGGTAAATATGAATACAGATGCTATAAACATTTTCTTCCAGGTTTTTGTTTGAACAAACCCAGCAGTTGTCAGATCATATGATATGTGTATGTCAGACTATTTAAGAAACTGCCAAGTTGTTGTTTTCCAAAATGGATATATCATTTTGCATTCCCACCAACAGTATGTGAGAGTTCCAGTTATTCTGCATCTTCATCTGCACTTGGTATTATCAGTATTTTTTATTTTAGCCATCCCAATAAGTATGTCGTGATTTTTAACTTACATTTCCCTAGTGGCTAGGGATATTGAACAATTTTTACGTGCTTATTTGCTATCCATATGTCTTCCTTGATGAAGTGTCATTTCAAATCTTTTGCTTGGTTTTTTTTTTGGTACCGGGGATCGAACCCAGGTCCTAGCTCTTATGCAGCAGGTGGCAAAACCACTGAGCTAAATCCCCGGCCCTTTTGCTTGTTTTTTAATTGGGTTTTTTTATTGTTGTTGAGTTTTGAGACTTCTAAGTCCTTTGTTGGAATTGTGATTTGCATATAGTTTTCTCATTCTGTAGATGCTCTTTATTCTCTTAGTGTCATTCATAAAACAAAAGTTTTACTATTTGTTTTATAGTCCAGATAGACCTTAAACTCATAGTGCTCCTGCCTTAGTCTTCCAAGTGCTGGGATTATAGGTGTGGGCCACCATGGGTAGTTTAACTTAGATAAAGTCTATTTCATAAATTTTCTTTTAAGAGGGCTGGGGATTTAGCTCAGTGGTTTCGCCACCTGCCTCGCAAGTGCAAGGACCTGAGTTCGATCCCCGGTACCAAAAAAAAAATTGCATATATTTTCTTTTATGAAGTGTGCTTTGGTGTTGAGAACTCTGCCAAATCCTAGGGCACAAAGATTTCTTCCTATGTTTCATTCAAAAGTTTCATAGTTTCTAATTTAGATCTATGATCCTGTGTTCATTAAGGTGTGAAGTTTAGGGTGAAGTTCATCTTTTTTTCACCTGGTATTATTTGTTAAGAATACTTTCTCCACATTATAAAATGTAGTTAAAATGACTTGTTAATGCTTTTTAAATTTTGTACTTCATATTTCAAAATTGTAACATTTTGATGCTTTGAGTTTTGGGGAGACTGATAGATCATATCTTCTGACTGATAGGGTTTATTGTATATGAGAGATAACCACTAGTCATTGTATATATTATGTTCTTAAAAACGGTGGGACGTATTTTTATGTAGTAAATATGCTTATGTAAATTTGAATTTTTCAGCTGCATTGGAATTATTTGTTGATTACAATCACCACTGAAAACTGTATGAGTAAATTTCCTCTTAATTGGAGTAAGTGCTTCAGTGTTGAAATCAAAGTTCCCCATTTCCCAAAACTGTGACCATTAGATAACAATATGTGCTAATAATTGGTAATGTAATATAAGTGGTTTTTCTTTTTTCTTTTTTTTTTTTTTTTGGTACCAGGGATCCAGGGATCGAACTTGGGTACTTGCACTTGCGGAGCAGGCAGCAGAACCACTGACCTAAATCTCTGGCCCCTAAGTGGTTTTTCTTAATGTTAATCTTTCTCATCTTTATACATCGTACTGTTGAGCCATCTCATCTTTGTATAACATTACTGTTCCTTTGTGTTAATTTGGTTATGTTTCTTTCACTTCGTTTTGTAGTAGTGTAAGAGTCTGTTCCTAATTCCTAAGAGATGATGGATGATTCAGTAGGTAAAGATTTTTTTCATGCATTGCCATTGTGAAAATACTTGATGTTTCTTATTTACTTTGTTGTTTTATTTTTTGGTTATGTTTTGAAATACAGTCATGTTTTGTTTTAAAAAAAAAAAAAAAGTACTTTTTCCATTGAATTGTTTTTGCATTTTTATCAAAAATCAGTTGGCCAGGTAGTATGATTCTTCCAACTTTATTATTTTTCAAAAAAATTTTAGCAGTTCTAGTTCCTTTGCTTTTCATATAAATTTTAGAAATAGCTTATCTGTCCTACAAGAAAATTTGCTAAGATTTTTTATTGGAATTACCTGAACTCTACAGACCACTGTAGGGAGAATTGATATCTTTTGCTATGTAAAGTCTATAAAGGTAATATGTCTCTCCATTTACTGGTTAATTGATTTCTTTCAGTAATTTATAGTTGCTGTTATATAAATCATGTACATATTTATTAGATTTGTGCTAAGTACCTAACATTTTTGCAAGTAGTTGTATTTTTTAAATTTACAGTTGTACATTGCTAAACATTACTTGTATATAGAAATATAGTTGATTTTATATCTTTACCTTGTATTCTGTAACCTTGCTAAACTTATTTATTAGTTCTAGGATTTTTTTTTTTTAGTAGATTGAGTTGTTTTTTTTTTTGGCACTGGGGATTGGGGATTGAACTCGGGACCTTGTGCTTGCAAGTCAGGCGCCAGAACCACTGAGCTTAAATCCCAGGCCCGAGATTTTTTTTTTTTCCTTTGAGGTTTCTTGTTTGTTTTGTTTTGAGATGTTCCCCTGAGCTCCTGATCCTGAATCCTGGGCTCACACAGTCCTCCTGCCTCAGCCTTCTGAGTAGCTGGGACTATAGATGTGCCCCATGGTGTTTAGCTTTGTGAGATTTTCCCCCCAATCATGTTGCCTGCAAATTTGGTGAGAATGGACATCCTTGTATCATCCGTGATCATAGTAGAAAGTATCTGGCCTCCCACCATTACTTATGATGTTAGCTCTATGTGTATGTGTGTGTGGGTGTGCCTGTGCATGTGTGCGTGCACGGTGACCAGGACCTTCATACTGAACTATATTCCCACCCTACCCTGCTTTTTGAGGCAAGTTCTCACTAAATCACTAAATTACCAGGCAAGGTTTAAACTTGCTATCCTGCCTCTACCTCCCAGAGTGCTGAGATTATTACAGGCATGGACCACGCCCAGCCAGCTGTGGGATTTTTTTGTTTTAATTAATTTTATTGGTACATTTTAGGTATATAATATAATGACATTCATCATTGCAGATTTTTACCTTTATATAATCTATCTTGGTAATGTGGGTTTTTATAGATGTACTTCATCAGATTCAAGAAGTTCCCTTCTATTGCTAGTTGATAGTTTTAATCATTAATAGGTATTGGATCATCATATGCTTTTTCTTTATCACTTGGTAATGATCATGTGATATTTCTTTTTTGGGGTTCTTAATATATCGTGCATTAACTTTATGTATGTGATACTGGAGATTGAACCCAGAGCTTTTGTAATGAGCCACAGCCACAGTTGTTTTTATATTTTTAATTTTGAGACAGGGTCTCACTAAGTTGCCCAAGCTGGGTTTCAGCTTGTGATCCTCCTGCCTTATCTTTCAGGAGTGCTGGAATTATAGGCATACACCATCACACCTGCCTAATTTTCTTTTCCTCTTTTTTTTTGGTACCAGGGATCAAACTCAGGACCTTGTGCTTTCGAGGCAGGCACAGTGCCACTGAGCTAAATCCCTGGCCCTTCCGTTTTTTAATAAAGTAAAAGTTTTACAATAATACAGTCTAGTATGATTAAAGAAAAGGAGAGTTAAAAAACATGTAAAACTACCTGTATTCCTTGGGAGTGTAGTTTATGTGGCAAAACTATAAAGACTCACAAAGAGGTAGTAGAGGCAAGGTAGAAAAATTAGTACCTTTGGGTTGGGCTACGGGGCTACTGGGAAGCCAGAGCAGGCTTCCCAATAATTGGCCATGTTTTGATTCTCCTAGCAGTACTTTCTCAAGACTTTGCCATATTGTTTCTCTTTAAGATCCATATGCATTACAAATACTCTGTTGTATCTACTTATCAGTCATGTATGTGTTATGTATGGGAGACTGAGGCAGGAGGACTCAGTTTGAACCTAGGCTAGGCAATTTGGTGACTTAACAAGACCTTGTCTCAATAAATAAAAAGGGCAGGGAATGTAACTCAGTTTGAAGGCTCTAGGTTCAATCCCCAGTATCTCAAAAAAAAGTTCTTTGTCTTGGGCTGCCTGACCTTCTGAAGAATGCTGTGTGCGGCATTCATTCCTAGACACCATACTGACCGCCCCATCTTCACAGGAATCTCCAAAATCTGCTGATCCTGACCGCCATCAAGGCAGATCACACATGGGTCATGGAGTACATCAGTCGCCTGGACAACTATGATGCCCCTGACATTGCAGGCATCGCCATCAGCAGTGCACTGTATGAGGAGGCCTTTGCTATCTTCCACAAGTTTGATGTCAATGCCTCAGCGATCCAGGTGGGTGCTGCAAGCAGTCTTGTTAGGCCCTAGCATCCTGTGCTGCTCTGCACATGCCTCCTGATGAATTGTGACCACTGTGTGAGATTCTCAGACAGACCATCAGACACATAGTTGGAACATAAAGTGGCTTTATTAGCCAGTGGCTCAGCAAGGGATTCAAATCACCTCAAGAGCACCAAACAGAAGTTTACTCCCATTTTTATATCTCTATGTTTCTATGGGTAGGGGAAACAGCAGCTGTGGATGCTGAGGAAACATCCAGACCAAGCAGAGGGGCAGTGAAGGGGGAGCAGGGAGGTTTGTCAGGGCTTTCCAATATCATCTTGCTTTAGTGAGTTTACATTAGAGTAGTGGTCATAGTTACAATATATCTCCCACAACGGAGAAATTTCAGTTTCCTCTCTCATTCCTCCCTTTGAGGCTCTTACTGAAGAGCTTCACTTTCCATACCAACTCGTATTATCAAAGTCTTATCTGTATGAGATCTTCCACAGACTGATATCCTTTAGTACATAAAACCCTGGAGGTTGTTTTCCGGTCTATTTGTGGTTTCTATAACGGGGTTTAGAGCCTGCATTGCTGTGGGTAACAGGCAAGGGATAAGTAGGCAGATTCCCATAATAGCAAAAAAACCTCCTGTCATTGTCTTAAAACCTCCTAGAGCTGAGAACCATCCATCCTTTCTAGGTCTGGACTGGTACATGGGCTAACTTTTTTTTTTCCCAGTACCGGGGTTCGAACTCAGGACCTTGTGCTTTCAAGGGAGGCATGGTGCCACTGAGCTAAATCCCCAGCCCTAGGGCTAACTCTTGAATTTTTTTGATGATCTCTTTTATTACTTGCCTCTGATCATGTATCTGGAGGCAACAATTAGATTGAACTTTCCACAAACTCACCCTTCTTTGACTAACAGGTAATCTATGGCCAGTCTGTTTTGATATACTGCATTTCAGATCTTTGTTGTTTAGCAAGCAGGTTCAGTGGTTATAATTTCCAGCACAGGTTGTAGCTGAATTATTTTGTTTAGCATATAAATGGGGGTTCTGTATCCCCACAGTCCATCCTCAGACCATGTGGCTGGCCCATAGTACTGAACTATTCTCTCTGGAGGCCACTCATCATCTAATTGCTTAGTACTATGTTTCTCTTCGCACAGGAGGAAATATGCAGGAGGCATCCTGGTAGTTCTCCTTGGTGGAGGGGCAGAAGGAAGAAGGAGGTCTTAACAGTCCCCAAGATACAGCTTCCTGCCCAGTTGATTGGAAGTTGGGCATACGCCCTCTTCCCACATATTCAGTATAACCCTTTGGGTGCAGACCAGTGGATGGAGGCAGTTATGTTTTTCCATTCTGGGCTCAGATTAGGAAATTGAGCTAAGGAATTAATCTCGGTTTCATTTCCCCATCATTCTGTGCTCTTTTTAGCCTCATTATAGAACCTTTGTCAGAAGCAAGTCAGTTCTCCATCTTGGACCTGGAATTCTTTTCCCTTTCAAGTATGATGCTAGTCTTAAGTATCCACAGGTTGCTTCCTTGTAAAGAAGGTTTTATATTCCTATCCTTTTTGTCTTCTTCCAATGCTAGAGTTTTGTTTTCAGCAGGGTCCCATTCCCTAGCCTCCCATGGCCACTGATTCCCCTACCAGAGTTCCCCCGCAGACATAGCATGATGTAACATTCAGCAAATGTACTATGCTTTCTGCTAATCCCATGAAGAAGTTTCAGGTTATGGAGGGGATCTGTGGCAGAGGTCAAGTCATTTCCTCATAAAAGGAATGAAAGACCCAGAAGCTGGAGGTGGCTGGGGAATACGTGAGCCTTATAATAAGGAAGAATGTTCCCAGGTCATCACCTCTCCCATCTGTCCAAAGCCAAAAGGTTTTTCCTTTTTTCCATTCTGGATTTTGAGGGTCTAAGATGTTTAAAGTGGCTGGGTTACATGTTCCGAGTTTTCGAGGAGTTGGAGCTGGCCATTTCTTTAAGGGAGACCCCATCTGCCAGGTGGCCTACCTCACACAGCCCCACCAGGGACACCCAAAGTCATCTACATGTTCATACCTACCTCACTTCCACCACAGGTGATTGCTCCAGGTGCACATGTATTTGTTATTTGTGCTATACTCTCTTTTCCATCCTAGGCCCCCACATGCCAGATGATAGATATCCTTCTTTGTGGTGGTTGAACTGATGGCCATGCAAGCATCAAAATAGGAAGTTACTAGCTCTCCAGGCCTTGATCTCATGGTTTTGTTTATCAAGGGTCCTATTTTAGGGTCATTTAGACTAACTAGCTGAAAAAATAATGTTTCCCTTGGGATATCTAGCATAGAGCTCAAACTCCCAACTAGTTTCTATCACTGGGTTAAAGCAAATGGGTGGGGCACCACCCTTAGGCTTCTAGATCTTATATGTAGTCAACCTGTGGGCACAGGTTCTGGTAATTTCTCCTTCATAAACATAGTAGGTATAGAAAAGCAGAACAGTGGGTCAGGAATTTAGCTCAGTGGTGCCACCACCTGCCTTGCAAGCGCAAGGACCCGAATTTAATCCCCAGTACCAAAAAAAGAAAAAGAAAAAGGTGAGGCTGCCAAACACCTCTCACCACATTTCCAATCAGCTGGGGCAGTCTCAGCAAGGGCAATAGCAAAAAGCAGAGAGACAGACTCTAAAGTAATTAAAAGCAAGGGATGACAGTTCATTGCAGATAGTCACAAAGGTATGTAGTCCTGCTATCAGCGGTGTCCTCAGGCTTCTGCATTGTATAGACTAATCAGCTCCCGGAGTGACTAGAGCAGAGCTGATGTCTTCTGTCAATTATGGCGTGGTTCCCCTCTGGGTCAAGATGACCTTGGTGTCGTGATGAGGGTCTCTGGAACACCTCCACTCTGGAGTCACGGCCATTTTCACCCAACTATGGTTGACAACTCCCTTTATTTTTCATTTGGGCTTAAGGCTGTCTTGTCACCAGTCTTTTACCCAAACTGAATCTCTTGGAAAGAGAAGGGGTAGAGTTGACTAGAATGATAACAGGGGCCCTTTCTAAGGCCCAAGAGGCTATCTTTTGGTAAACCTTTCCTAGTTCAATCAGTTATCTTTTTAAGGTTGTTTCTTCTAATGTCCTTATAGGCTATTCTGGTCCTCTCAGGACAGGGTGTGGCCTGGCAAACAGAAGCTTATAGGGTGAATAGCCTGTTCTCTTGTGGGGAGTGCAACATGTCCAGAGAAGCACAGGGCCGGGGATTTAGCTCAGTGGTTTTGCTGCCTGCTGCATAAGCGCAAGGACCCGAGTTTGATCCCCGGTACCAAAAAAAAAAAATCTCAAAACAGAGAAGCACAATGGGCAAGGCCTGGACCCAAGTGAGTCCAGCCTCTTCGCAGAGTTTTCCCAGCCATGCTTTTAGGGTTCTATACATCTTCACTACCTTTCCTGAGCTCTGGGACTGGTAGGCTGCATGTAAATTCCAGTTAATTCCCAAGGCCTTCACCACCCCTTGGACCACTGTTGCCACAAAGGCTGGACTGTTGTCTGATCCTATTCTTCATGGAAGCCCATAGCAGGGAATGATTTCTTATAGCAATTTCCATGTCACTTGTTTGGCTTTCTCTGTCTGACAAGGGAAGGCTTCTACCCAGTTGAATTAAGTGCAGACCATAACCACTTGATAGTTCTGTAAAGTCAACCTGGATATCTTCAAAAGGTGCTGCCCCAATCCTTTGGACCTCCACCAGGACACCTGGTGTTGTCTTTGGATTGTGTTGCACACGTTACACCCAACTGAAGTTTTTTTGATCAGAGCTGTCAATCGGGATATAAAAGTAACAGCCAAAAGCCTCTAATTTTTCTCTTTGTAGGTAGGGGTATTTTCATACGTGGCTTATACTAATTGAGGCCTCACATAGAATATGGTACCACAGTTCAGCCATCTGGAAACCAGATCCTTTGATTTCTCCTTCTTTCTTTTGAAATCCTTTTGATTTCTCCTTCCTGTGAAACCCATTAAATCTCCTCTGAAGTGTATTATTGTTTTTCATATCCTTCTCAAGGTATCAAGGGAAGGAGTATGATGTCTGGCCTTAAACTTGCAGCCTTGACTTCTTGGTTGACCATGTTATTACCTAGCTTAGGTTTTCCCTTTTGATGTCCACTGCCATGGACATCTGCAACTTCTTTTGGAGCCAAGACCACTTCTAGGAGTTGAAGTATGTCCTGGCAATACTTAATTTCTTTTCCCCCTGGTGTAAGTAACCCTCTTTCTCACTAGAGGGCACCATGTACGTGCAAAGTTAGGAATGTGTAGCAAGTCTGTGTAAACATTCAGTCTTTTTCCTTTTCCTAATTCTAATGCATGAGTTAGGGCAGTGTGTTTAGCCCTCTTAGCAGAAGTTCCTTGGGTTAGTGGTTGGGACTCTACAACCTCTTCTAGAGTCACAACCTGGTAACTGGCCTTCTGTTTCCCAGCCTTGTCTATGTGGCCATCCACAAAGAACTCCAAGAGAGGTTTGGTCTCACAGATCTAGCCAGCTGGAATAAACTGGTTCTGTGGTCTCTTCATAATCATGTATGGGGCCTTCTGGCTGGGGAAGGAGGGTAGCTGGGTTTAGGTTGTTAAGAGACTTCCACCCTAATTCAAAGGTTCCCACAGAGCAAACTTTGGTACTGGGTCAGGTGCAAATTGGTGAGCCAGTAGTGACCTTTAACGTTCATAAGGGTGACCATAGCATGTGGGACTCGCACCATAGGTCCTGGCCTAAAATCAGTTTGTTAGCCTCTTTGTTCAAGAGAGCAATTGTGGCCAGGGCCTTTGCACAGGGAGGCCACTCTTGTGCAATTCCATCTAGTTTCTTGAATAAGTAGGCCACCGGTCTTTCCCAGCAACCAAGGATCTGTACTAGCACTCCTACTGTGGTTTTCTTTCATGCAGTCACTTAGAGTGAAAGGCTTACTCTGATTGGGGAGGTGCAAAGCTGGTGCTTCCTGGAGCTTTTCCTTTACGGTCTT